AATGGCAATGAAACAATATACCATAGGATGAATGTAAAGCTAATGTTCTCCCATGTAAACTATCACATAATTCACAATAAAACATTAAAAAAAAAAAAAAAACTAGATTGGATATGAGTATGATTTTAATGTCCTCTTTCAGTTTCTTGCCTTCAAGGCCGCCTGATAAATTTCAAGATGCCACTGTTGGTTGTTATGCTGTACCTCAGGATTTAATTTTTGGCTTGTTTTGTTTTAAACTCTCTTTCCCTCTCCACACCCGTTGTTCTGGTCTTTTCCCTATTAAAAAACAGTTCAGGGCTGGCTCTTGGGCTGCCCATAGCTTTAAATGCTGAGAATAGTGTGCACGTGCGTGGCAAAAGAACCCACCAGTGTCGTAGGGTTGGTGGGTGTCCATTCACTCAGGCACCACCCACCCCCAGTCACCAGAATGGAGGTGCACAAACAGTGGTGGGGGGGGCAATGAACAGATATATAATCAGAACAAAGCAAAACCGACAAAGTATATTGTCCACCTTTGCTCCGAGATTCCTGCGGCGTTATTCCATGGTGGGTCTGCTCCCCCGCTTGGTCTTGCAGTTTGGTCTCGCCCAAGTAGTTGGCACTGGGCCTCCGAGTCAGGCAGATTCAAAAGTACGCGATTTCTTACTTCCGCTACAAGTTCCACCAACTATAAACCTTCAAACTTTTTAAAACATTCCTACCTATGTGGTTCAGAGTTTTGGAGCTCTGCCCTGAACCTGCTTCGCCTGGTATTCTGTGGTTTTGCTGATGGTGAACTTGACTGCACTTGTACCCTATCCGCCATCAAGCCCCACCTCCCTCCATGCAGTCTTTAAACTAGTGTCTTTCAAGCTGCAAGTTGTAACCCATTCATTGTTGTTGTTTTTGCTAAGTGCCATTGAATTGGTTCCGACTCATCTAGCAGGTGGCAAATTCAATTTTAGAGGATTTTAAAACTAAAACTATTTTTAAAAATTGATTGATTTGTGAAACTTCTCTTTCTGATACATACGTATATGCACAAGAGGGCATCAAAAAGTATGTGGAAAAATGGGATGAAATGATAATGTATGTGGAGTTGCAACATAGAATGTTTTTCCCATCATGGGTCATGAGTAGAGATCAAGCAACATAAAGCCTAAATACCCTGTGTCTCCCATTAGCACCCACCACAGGGGCCTGACTATTGGCATTTCTGTTTGTGGACTACATGCAGCACCTTGGATTCCAGGAATTTAGATTGTAATTTGTAGGCAATGAAAATGTGTTGAAGTGATGGATATTGATTTAGTAGTTATATGGAGGAGGATTTAAAGGAGTCCTTGTGGCACAATGGTTCAGGACTCAGCTGCTAACCAAAAAGTTGGCAGTTCAAATCCACTCAGCAGCTCCACGGGAGAAAGACCCGACACTCTGCTTCCATTGAGATTATAACGAAGGAAACTCTGTGGGGCAGTTCTGGTCTGTCATATGGAGTTGATGTGAGTTGGAGTCAATCCAGCGATTGTCCAGCCAGGTAGGACAACATGCTTGAGCCCTGGTCTGAGTGATGAAGGCCTGTGGAGGATACTTACAGGCAAGGGGAAGGTAAGAGGGAACAGGAGTGACTATAACAGTGATTGTTGTTATGGTTTGCTTTTAATACACAAAAGGGATTTTTGTTTCCATATGAGAACCACGTCACTCACAAAATCTTAGCTCAACGAATCCATTTCACAAGCAGGTATTGACTGTGTGCATCAAGCAAGATGTTGTGGTTGTTGCATTATCAATTACTGGGGAGTTTCTGTCTGGAGCACAGTTGAGCTCCTGTGAGCTTCACACTAATCTGAGGAAATGTCTCCCATGGATGGGAATCCATCTGTAAGGTTTTTATTGGGTCACATCTCACTAAGTGCTGATCAGTGTTGATTCAGTTAGAGAAGGGCATATAAACTCTTTAGAGATGATTGTTTTAGAGACTGGGGCAAGGAAATAGAAATCAATGAGCCGGTAGACTTCCTAGAGCAAGGAGGACTGACTCTTCAGATTTGGCTCCACTGCCCTTCACTCTTTTTTGTTTGCTTGTTTGTCCTAGGAAGTGGTGCAGCCTAGGGGCAACACATCCCAGCCCAAGCAGAACAGAGCCATTCCTCCACCACCACGCCAGGACCAATCTTTTCGGACCAATATCACCCTCTTGAAGGTTCTTCTCTGGTTGGTCCTACTGGGACTGTTTGTGGAACTGGAGTTTGGCCTGGCTTATTTTGTCCTGTCCTTGTTCTACTGGATGTATGTTGGGACACGAAGCCCTGAAGAGAAGAAGGCGGGTGAGAAGAGCGCCTACTCCGTGTTCAACCCGGGCTGTGAAGCCATCCAGGGCACCCTGACTGCAGAGCAGCTCGAGCGGGAGCTACAGTTAAGACCCCCGGAGGGGAGATAGGATGGTGCTCCAGCTGTCACTCAGCTAGCCTGGGACACAGTCCTCGTAGCCTCAGGTCTGGACTGGACTTCTTGTGCACCGGACTAAAGAGAGCTTGTGGGTTAGCTGTGTTCTACCCTCTTTCCCTTATCTATGAGTTTGTCGGGTTTCAGTGAAACCTATTGACAGATACATTCACTATCTGCTGCAATTTATAAAAATTACGTACTCGAAAAAATGGACTTTTTTGTCTCATTTGAGAGAGATGATTTTAGATCTCTAGAAAGGCATTGTGGAAATTACTGCTAAAAATATTCAGCTGTTTGAAGTAATGGTTAGGTACATAAGGGCTGTCTGAATATTAAAAGTAAAGCTCTCTGAAATCCTTTTAATACTTGTTTACTTTTTTAAAGTTATCATCAAGTTGACTCTGACTCATGGTAACTCCCATGTGTGTCAGAACAGAATTGGACTCCACAGGGCTTTGAATAGCTGACTTTTTGTAAATTCAACAAGAAAAAAATCTTTTTGAGTGCGTACAAAGGGAGGGTTTGGAATGGAATTCTAGACTCAGGTTGCTTGGGTTCTTCTTGTTTTGTAAAGGCTTCAGAGTAAACAGTCGCTTTGCCTGTGGGGCTCTGGTGAGAAACAATATCAATAATGATAATCAGACATGATTTCTGTATTCCTCTTTCAATACAATGGCAGAGTTTGGGTTCATTGAAATTGGGCCAAGCAAACCATTAAACCCTTTTCTCTCTGACTCATACTAATGAATAAGAAGACAGGAGATTGAAAGCAATAGTCTTTCTCAAGCCTAAAATTTTAAGAAATGAATGACTCCTTCAGTAGGTTTAGCAACTTCAAGATCCAACTATTAAGAAAGAAACTTTAATATCTAAGAGGCATTATTAGGCCTAATGGAGTCCCTTGTTGTTGTTGTTGTTAAATGCCATTGAGTCAGTTCTGACCCATAGCGACACTGTATAGAGTTTCCAAGGAGGGACTGGTGAGCTTGAACTGCCGACCTTGCAGTTCAACTGACTTTGCAGTCCAGCGTATTAACCCATAGCACCACACCAGGACTCCCAATGGAGTCCCTAGGTGTGGTCTAAACAGTAAATGCATTTGGCTACTAACTGAAAGGCTGGCAATTTGAGGCCACCCGGAGGTGCGTTACTTCTAAGCAATCACCCATTGAAAATGTCATGGAGCACAGTTCTACTCTGTGCTGTACACACATGGGGTCACCAGGGGTTCAAGTTGCCCAACAGCAACTGATCCTGGTAGTAAGCCTGTTAAAGGCCTATTACTAATCCTCTTTCTGTTCATTCTTACAGATTTACTCGTTCTAGCAAAAATTTCACATAGCTCAGTTTAAATTTAACTTTTAAAATTTGAATACCAGGTATTCTACCAGGTGCTTCAGATATGATCATGAAAAAAGCGACGTACTTGCAGTTTTTCTAGCATACAGTTTAGTTGTGAGTGGGTGTGGGAGACCAAATAAAACAAATAGCTCTTATGAGTGGTAGGAGGAACGCATTTTGTGGCCAACTGACCCTATTTTGTCTCAGCCCTTGTTGAAAACTCTCTGCTAGACTTCAGCTCCCCATTCCAGCCCTCTGCTGCTTGCAAGTCTGGCTGTGCCAGAGACATCCAGTGGAGCAGACGCTCTCCTGCGACTCCTCTTGGAACTGGACATGTAGGAAATACAGAAAACTGGAATGAATTGCTATTCACACATAACGTTTTGGTTGTATTTAAAACACAGGATTTCATTTTCTGACTTGATTTCTTAAGTCCTTCTTTTACTAACGTATTTACATTTCATAAAAGCCAAATAAATACCTGATGCTGTCGAGTCGATTCTGATTTATGACAACACTGTTTCATGTTGTTGTTAAGTGCTGTCTTCTGGGTTCCTACCCATAGCGACCCTGTATAGGGTTTCTGAGGAGCAGCTGGTGAGCTTGAACCAGCAACCGTGTTGTTCAAACTGACTTTGCAGTCAGTACATTAACCTGCAACGCCACACCAGGACTCCACTGTCATGTGACAGGATAGAATTATTCAATGTGATCATAACGAAAGCAGATCACCAGGCCATTCTTCCACGGTACCTCTAGGTGAGTTTGAACCACCAACCTTTAGGTTTATGTAGTCCAGGGCAAACCATTTGTGCTACCCAAGGATAAAAACCAAATTAAGGGGCGAAATTCCTCCTGATCAAAATTTCACAGTACTGCCCAGGACAGTAAATATTATTCTAGGAAAGGATTAACTTACTTTTTTTTTTTTTTTTAAATTTTAAAGACGTTTTTATTGTGAATTGAGTTAAAGTTTACAAGGCAGATTATCAGTTTCATATTCTATAAATTGTATTTTGCTTCATTGCAATGATTACAATCCTCTCAATGTATTTACCACTATCCTCCCATCCCCCCTGTTTAATCAGTTTTACATTCAACAAGTCATACACTTTGTTTCATTACAATGATTATAATCTCCTCCATGTGCCATCAGTTAACAGTATTTTGCGATATTCACTTCACCCAGGCACCCAGGCATATATAATAATTTACACCTGCAAAGGGCACATAGTCTTGCTCCCTCTCTAAATGACCCTATCTCTGCCTCCATCTCAGGCATCTCACTGCTTCTCTGGATAAAGTCCCACATTCTGCTTGTGCTCTTCTCCTTTGATAGTCCTAAAGTCCTCTCTTTCTGGACTGTAAGATTAACCACTCCCTGTTGTTTTTTAAAAAAAAAAACACTTAGGCATATATAATAATTTACACCTCCAAAGGGCACAATCTGCAAGTCTGCTTCCTGGCCACTCACCAGCTCTTAGTCCTCCTCTTCCTATGAATCTAGAGTCCTCAGCCACTCGCT